CCCCAGCTCCCTCAGCCTCTCCTCCCAGCACTTGTGCTCCAGTCCCTTCCCCAGCCTCGTTGCTCTCCTCTGGCCCTGCTCCAGCCCCTCCATGTCCTTCCTGAGCTGAGGGCCCAGAACTGGACACAGCACTCCAGGGGTGGCCTCACCAGCGCTGAGTCCAGGGCAGGAATCACTTCCCTGGCCCTGTTGGCCACCCTGTTCCTGAGCCAGGAAGCTCCAAGGTGAAGGTTCCCTTTTCATCCACCATTTTTTCAGACCAAAAAAACCCCCCCATTCATTTAGGTCAGACCTCCAAATATCCTCTGTTGTCCTTTATTATCTCAATAATGCACCTTGCAGACCTCCCCTCAGGACTCGCTGAGCAAACAAACTGCGGATTTTTAACGTGTCGAGTCCAAAATTTGATAATAATCTGCCAACACAGACAAATACACTGGTGTGTAATCAAGATAAGGAAAGCCAAATGTAAATTAGATTATTTGGGAGCCAGTTTGCAAGATTTAGAGTGGAATAAGCTTTCCTTTCTAGTGGGTTTTTTCTTTTGACCGGGCAGTGAAATAACGCCCAAATTCTGAGAGCTCCAGCAATAATTCAGCTTACAAAGGCCTGTGAGAGTCACAGCTCCAAACTGTCCCCCAGCAGCTTCAGAAGCCAGCAGAGAAGAGCCCAAGGAGCAGCAAGGAGCAAAATTTCCACTTACCTCCCCAAGGTGGGAATCTCCCAGAGGCCCTTTTGTCTCCGGGTTGACAATGACCACTTTGACTCCAGGCAGAATCTAAGGAGCACAAGAAGGAATGTGTAATTCCTGCTGGATTATCCTCAGGCACAATAAACCACATTAATTCAGGGCAGGATTTCACCCCCAGCCACCTCGAGCAGGGATAAAACACGCCAGGACAGGTACAGTGAGGCAGGCTCAGGGGATGGATGGATTCCATGGCTCAAGGGCCACACAGGGAGGGCATTCTGGGCCTGGACATGTTGCTGGACCTCAGTTTTGAAGAATTCAGTTACAAAAATAAGGAGAAACTCCTTTTTGTTAATCCATGAGGGAGTGACAGTAAATCCCAACTACAGGCTGATTTCAAGGATCCCACAGCCCCCACTTCTGATGTGGACTCCATGATCTCAGAGGTCTTTTCCAACCTAATTCACTCTCTGATTTGGTTCATTTACTGCTAACAGAACCAATTCTCCCACGAGTTTCCAGCAAAACACGCTCCTTAATCATTACTTCCTTATAAATCCAACTGATTTTCCAGAGGAACAGCGTAACCAAGGCCTTCCCAAGCCTTGTCACAGGATTATCCTCCTCAGGGCTGTAAGAAATGTGCGGTTCCCAACTGCCCTGTGCTGTGGTTCTGGATAAAGACATGGAATTACCTTCCCAGACTCGGAAAGCAACAGGCTCTGTGGAGCTCCTCGTTCCACCAGACGGACTCTGAAGGGAAAGAAAACCTTGTCAGGATTAAAAGAGTGGAAATCTCCAGAGCAGTGTGAGAGCTCAGCACCCTCACAGCATTTTATACAGTTGTTAAATTGATTTAATGAACTCACTGTACCTGTCATGTCTCAAGGACTTCAGGTCCACGTACACCGTGGTGGGATCGGGCCCGGACGTTCCCTGAGGAGTTAAAACATTTAAAACCCATCAGTTTGTCTCCAGCAGGCAGGGGAACTCCTGCCTGAGCTCAGAAACCTTTCCAGGGGTTTCCCACAGCAAAATTCTTTCTCACATCCCCCCCACCTTTGCAGCTGCACTAATGGAGACCCTTCAGTGAACAGGGAAACATTTTGGGGGGGAGGGAGGTTTGGGGAGGGGGGGACACAGCCCAAGCCCCCTCAGCCATTAGTGCTGGGGCAACCAGGCACTGTTTGTGTGGGAATAAACACACCAATGTGGGAATAAACACACCAACACTGTCCATGTGGGAATAAACACA